TACAAAAGGAAGCTACAGCTATAGAAACCTCTCTGGAAGAGAAAAGATTAAGACGACATAATATGCTGCTTGAATGCAAGGTGCAGGACTTGAAAATAAAGCTCCTGTCTGGATCACTGGATGACATCAGTGAAGTAGAGGTACTTAAAATTTTTACAGAAGATAGATGTCACGGGGGAGTAATTACTCAGTCTTGAATTTAAAGATACTTATTTTTTCCATACACCTTACGTGTTTGTCTTACAGAGTAATGTTAAAATAAATACGTTGTTCTCATGTGATCAGGCCTGATCCATTGAAGAGAAGATATTTTGTTTACTTTTGTAGACAGAAATATGGTTTGCAAGTATTTTTGCTTGTGCTTGAAATGTACTCTGTGAAATACGTAAAATCACTGTGCTACAAGAAAATTGGTATGAAGGAGTATTCAAGAAATATGTATGTAAGAGGACACATGGGGTCAGTTCAGAAATGTAAATAAATATGGCATGTATATGGATTGAGATAATATTTGGTTAATCATCCATAATATAAATGCTGTCTACCATTATCCTTTTGTCTTCAGTAGATGTAGATACTCACAGAAATCAGAGAGAGGCTAAAATAGAAATACTACTGCTATCAGAGGATTGACCCTCATTATTTTTCTCAGTCTTCCCTCTTTTTCCAGCATATCTTTTGTGAGGAGAAATTAAACTTTCTCCACTGTTATGAAAGAAAAGAGCTATGGGTTTTGAAGGACTTGTCACAAGTCTCTGAATTTGGAAGCAGTCTTGTTGAACCCATTCCTTAGAAAAGTACTTTTGCTGAAGGATAGGTATGAATGAGTGGGTCAGAAGACAACATGAAGGCAGTGAGGTAGGCAGTCTTTGAAGGGCAAGGACATGAACTGCTAATCATCAGAGTATGTCGGCAGCGCAGCGCTCGCTGTTTATGAATAAGGAAGAGATGAAACCAAGGAGGCGGGCAGTAGGAATAACAACTTAGATTCCTCATTAATATCACTGAGAGGACCAGTAAGATTTGGTTCTGAGAGAGAATCTTGTTGGGAAAGGGACTGATAGCAATGTGCAGCATGTGTTTCATTCAAGGGAAGGTAGCTGTTGGAAATCCAGGCTTAACAGTGTTCAGAAGATACTCTGCTTATGCCATACAGAATTGAAGCTACTTATTCTTCTGAGGCCAACTGAGTGGACAAAATGCCTCGACTTACACACTTCAGAGCCTTTCCTTGAAAGAGAATATCATGGGAACGTAAATCTTTCCAATCAGGAGATTTACAGTATGCACATTGTTCTAAATACATTACAAATAAATTACTGCTACTTTCATCTTAGCTTCAGACTAAAATTAGCAGCTGTTTTCATCTTCATTTAGAAGGTGTGGTTTTTAATTAGACTTATAAGATCTTAACTACCTGTTAAGTCCATTGTGGCTAGAGGAGGAGCTGTGGAATAAGTTTACCTCATGCCATGTTACCACCGTCTCCTCATTTTATGTCCTTTTAATGTATTGTTTTAACAGTTTTAAAGTTAACAGTCATATTTCTGAACTGGAATGTCCTTCCTATTTATAGCTAGGAGCTGAAACAGAAGGCACTCAGATTACATCAACTATCTATGAAAGGGAAGAGGCAATTGAGATAGACTACAGCAGCCTAGCAGAAGACGTGAAGGTAATCTCTTCTTGTTTGAATTTATTAGAGATTGAGTTTTTTATTTTTATTTGTTGTTTTGTAGTATTCTTTGTCCTAGTGTTTAAATGAAACATACTAAAAACACTGTTAAGTGTGTGTGTGTCTTGGTTTTGCAATCCTACATAGCACTAATGTGTGGGATTTCTGGATAGGTCAATTTCCTGTGTAACTAAATTTAATTTAAAGCTTACTGAAATCATAAAAATAGAATGGAGACCTAGTAAATAGAACTCTGATTTTATTCTTTTTCCCATCCTCCTTTACCTTCTGCCTCTTAAGTTTCAACATTATAGATTGTGACTCGGAACTGTAGGAACCAATGATTGGCTGCTTGGGGGTTGTACCACCTTCTCTCCGTACCATTTTCAGAGACTGAGACGTACCATACTTCCTTTGTAACAGTCCATCAGGTCATGTTTTCTCAGCACTTTTTTATAATTATTTTTTTCCTTTTTAATCTTAGGGAAAGTAATTAAATGTTAGAGGCTAGGTACAGAGCAAGGGACGAATCTCTCATCACTGGCACTTGTCTCAAAGAATTCATCAAGAACCTGTCTTCAAAGGTTTTCTTTACAAATCAAGTGGTGAAGCCAGCTAATCCTCCTCCTGTGTTGTATTTTAACCCAGACTTCTAGGCTGAAGGGGATTTGTTGTCTGTTCTTAAAGGTCTGGTAGAAGAATACTTAGGATCTAGTAAACTTATTCTGAGAAGTAAGACTCTGAGTGGAGTTTTGTGTTTTGTTTCCAGTTAAATCTATTAAATGAGTGGGATACTTCTTCCAGAAACCATGAGTGCTTGCCGTTTATGTTGAAACATCTTGGCCTAAAAGCAAATTTTATTGCTCTAGTATTTTTATTTTTTTCTTCAGGACCTAGAGTCTGATAAAGATATAGAGGATCATCTGAACCAGATGCAGCAGGAAATAAAATCTAAAGAGAATACTTTAATGAGGACAGCTGCTCCAAACCTGAGAGCAGTAGAGAAATTACAGATAGCTCGGGACAAGTTCCAAGAATCAATAGATGGTAACACTGAGGCTTTCATATGAATCTCTTCTGTGACTGTGAGAGTTCTCACCCTAATTGAAATTCCTCTTTCTGGGGTTGGCCCTGCTGATTTTGCTTCTTTCAGATACTAAGGCATTTCTGTGCTCAAGTGTTTATCCTCAGCTGTCTTTTTAATTATATGTAAAGAATTTATTAACATGCACTTTACACTGCAGTAGTTTATTGAAATAGTTTGAATGATTGGAAAGACACTTTGGCCAAATGACATAATCAAGTATTTTTTACATATTTTCTAAAAATTACTGACTTTAATCATAAAATTCTTTAAATTTCTCTTAAATAATTGAAGGAACATATATATGTTGTCCAGAACTCAGACAGGAGCTTTACTGCAAAATTATTGGTATCCTCAAAGAGCATCGCAGACATTAACATATTAAGAAAACCAAGTTGTTCTGAAGCTGTAACAGGTAAATGCTGGTGCTGCTTAAGGCTACCCAGCTTACAGAAGGAATTAGGAGAAGAATGTTGTTCATTGCTCCAGGCGAATGTAGCACAGAGCAGATTGAATACATCCCAACTTTTCAGTTTTGGGGGCCTCCATTTGAAATCTGGAAGGAAAGTCCTAATATTGGTATGCTCCTTGTATGTGCATTAGAACGTTTTTCTGCAATAAATATTTTCCTTGATGCTTGTTACAGCACACAATATATATTTGTTCTGTGTATCTGCTTAGAGGCTTATTATGGAGTAATTTTAGTAATTTTTTTTCATAGCTTTTGAGACCAGCAGAAAGGAGGCCAGAACATGCAAACAAGAATTTGAACAGGTGAAAAAAAGGAGATACGAGCTTTTTAGCCGGTGCTTTGAGCATGCCTCCATAGCTGTTGATCAGATCTACAAGAAGCTTTGCAGAAACAGCAGTGCTCAGGTGTGTCATGTTCTTAGGTGCTTGGCCTAAAAGGCCTACTTGGTGCTTTGTCATCTACAATAAGAGAACTTAATAACACTTTTGGTTTCCAAAGATGTTTCAGTCCTGAAGAAAAAAACTACACAAATAATAAATATTTCAGAATTTTAAGGTCAGAGGAGGAATAGGTAACGTGCCAAAGCATGCTTGACATTAGACAGAGAAATGTGATCTAAGATGTTAACAACATTGGGAACTACTCAGTTTGGGTTAGTTTTACTCACTGTATTTAGCAGACTTGTAAATTATTGTGATGCAAGTGTGAAATATTCAACTACTTCATTTAAAAATAACATTGTTTTACAGATCTAGTGATACTAATAATAAGTAATTAAACCCACTTAATCATTAGTATATGTAAAACTAAAAGTCATAAATCGCTATTGCAGTGCTAGTGTTTTGTATGAGGTTTTGAAGCTCCTTATACCCCACAAATATTTCAAAAAAGATAGACTTAATATGTTCGCAACTTTTAAGGAACTTGTAAAAAAAATTGTGTCACAATTATATTAATCTTTGCTAGTGTTCCAGTATTAATGCCAAAAGTAAGGAGGAGACTCCCAAATGCTTTGGTTACATCAAATTCTGTAGATGGTTGAATATTTAAAGGGCTCAGGCTTGAATTCTTGTCTGTCTGAAACTTCAGATTTTGTGTTTTCCCTCAGAGTCCGATATTCAGTTAACACCTTAAATATCTTTAAATATACCCTTTCTGCTTCTAGGTTGGACAGGATAATAAAGTGTGTGTTTCTTCCCAATTATGGGGACCATACCTTTTCCCTTAGACTAAACATCAGGCAAGTTTTGACTTTGCATCACTCAGAAACAGCCAGTATTTTCCAGATGCATTGCCAAAAATAATTAGTTAGATGCTTGCTTTCTGAGGTCTGTGATGCTGTGCCTTGATTTGAGCCGTAGTGGTAACCTGGTGAAGAGATTATCCTCTGATTAGCTGGGAAGCTAAAACTGCCTACTGGATACTAACAGAGCAGCTGAAGGAAGCTGGTGTCACTGCATTGGAAGAGAAATGATTGCTCCGTATGTGGTGATCGGTCTGCTTAGCTAAGGGTTAGCTCCGAGTTTTGCTGTCAGAGGAGGTGGCCTAGGTTGCAGCTTGAACAGATGCTTTTTAAGCAACCATAACAATTTTTAACATGGCAATTTCTTATAATAATATTAAGAAATATTAATTTTATTAGTAACATTTATTAATACTGCTTTAATACCCAGTCTAAAAAAGAGAAGCTTTGATAGATTGACTTAACTTCCAGAGATTCTGGACTCAAAACATTCGTGCACTGAATATATTGCTCAGTAAAATTTATTTCATCGGTACACTGTGTGGTGAAAGTACTTCAAAAGAAACTACTGCCTAAGAAATCGTACGTACACAGATCGCTGCTGGGTTTGCCATCAGTTCCCTTCCATTCCTCTTCTGTGAAGAGAGAAATGTCGTTCCTTTCGTATCTTGATGGGCAATGAATGTATGTGCCCTAGTAAGCTACAAGGTGATTTTTGCCAGGTGTCCATGTATCTGAAAACTTCCTATGCAGTGGCATAGAACTGGGAGTTGCATTGCAAGATACTTGACGTGTTTACAGCCTGAAGACCATTGTAATAACAATGACAGGCATTCTCTCAGCAGAGAGGAAGAGGACAATATGCATACCTCCAACAAAACAACGATACTGCAAGCACTGTATCTTACTTCCAGGACTATTTACCGCAGAAATTAAATTAACGTACATGTAGTGTCTTGGTTTGTTTTTCTTCCTCTGTATCTATAATCCAAGAGGAGCCATTTGAAATGAGTGTCAGTGGTGGAAATTTGTCCTTTATCTGTTTCCACTTGTGCAGAGGGGAAGAGACTGTATTATTGTCTCTTCCATGTAATGGGAAAAATAAACCATGTAGCAATAAGCTTATCCATCGTACTTTTCAATGGTTTGGTAAAATGGCCATTCCTTTAAAATAATACTTTTAATTTTTGGACCTGGGAACCAGGACACAAACTACAGAGAAAGCCTACCTATATTAAAATCTTTCTCCAGCTCAAAGCTAGATTTTGTAAAAGTAACCTTTCACAAAAAAGTCTAATTTTGGAAGTATGTTTGCGTCCAAACAAAAAAGAAACTGCTTTTAAAGTCTAAAACTTTTATGTAATTGCTTTGGTTTTAATTATTAAAGGTGATAAAATCAAGTTTATTTAGTAGTTGAAAGTTTGTAAATAACTAATATGTAGAGCAGTTTCCAAAATGGTTTGGTTAATTAGCCTCCTAGCTCATGGTTTGTTAACAAAGGCATATTCACTAGGAATTTTTACGGTGCTCTTCAGAATAGATGAGCAGGTGTTTCCTACAAATGAAGCTAACTTCCCAGTTTCAACACGAGCTCAGTCAGTATTTAAACCTAAAAAATATCCATCTTAATAATTTCATAAATGTCACTATTAATAATGAAATATATGTGTTTTCAGGCATTCCTGAGTCCTGAAAATCCTGAGGAGCCTTATCTGGAAGGCATTGGCTTTAACTGCCTGGCTCCAGGGAAACGCTTTATGCCAATGGACAGTTTGTCAGGAGGTGAAAAAGCTGTGGCAGCTCTGGCTCTTGTGTTTGCTATACACAGGTAACAGACATGGGATGGTGTTAGCCAAGTACGTGGCTGGGTAAGCGGCAGGAAAATAGACAGTGTTACACTTACAAACATGCTAAAAAAATTCTGCTGATACAGAATTCAAACGTTACTAAAGTCTTCATTCTTTACCTGTCATTACTTCTTACCAAAGTTTTATGACAGAGTAAGTAAAGCTCTAAAGTAATTAGAATGTTTATTAACATTTTTGCATCTAAATGCAAAATACTGTGTTGTCTTCTACAGTTTTCGGCCAGCACCATTTTTTGTTTTAGATGAGATAGATGCTGCCCTGGATAACACAAACATCGATAAAGTAAGTTGGTCCCTTTCACCTTACCCTTTTATCAACAATGTAATACATCTTGTATAGAAGGATGGCTACTTTTCATTGCAGGCTGTTGTGATAAAGAGATTCATTACACTGTCTTAACCTGTTTGAAAATATATTGGGTGTAGGACTGAAATAATGGTTATATGAGGTACTAGACTAGGGCTAGGTTTAAATTCATAAATCTAAGCGTGTTTTAGTCAGTCCCTAAACTGTGAGGTTGAGAAAAATAGGTCAGGAGTGTGAAAGCATGGCACGTGTCCGCGTGTGGTACGGTCTGACAGGAAGGTCACGTGTGAATTGCGGGTTGGGTTGGTTGGAGTTTTCGAGGTCTTTGAGTTCCCTTATCTCTGAGAAACAGAAAGGAGTGTATCTGTATGTGGAAATCAAGGCATGGCCTATTTCTCTTATATAATTGGCCTACTAAATATTTTTACATTAACACCAATTAAGGGCTATCACTCCTGTCATTTTGGTCACATGAATTCTTACTTGATTAAAATAGCTTCCTGTCTTCCTCTCAATTTGTCTTTCCCTTTTTGCTAACAACTCTTCACTGTAACAAAAAGAGTACAAACAGTAAAGCTCACCACCTGCAGATGTCAGCCTCTGGGAGGAGGAGACTCAATACAAGGAGACTCTATGTAGGAGAAGAATCAAAAAGATCTCCGCATGTGCCTGGACTTGCTTTTATGGAAACATTTGTTTCCACATAAAGTAAGGTCAAGCTATATTTCTACTTGCATTAATAGTGATGTCAGTCTTGGTAGAGCCTAACAAAAACAAGGAGTTCTATAAACACCAAACTTCTTTCATTATTTGTTTATTTCCCCCCCCAACCCCTCTTTCCTAATGGCATTAACTGTGATGTGCCAAGTACACCAGAGTTTGCTGGGAAGGTACCTCTATAGTAGACAGCTGGGCAAGCTCCACTACTTGTGCCTGCCAGATAGAATTCCTTCTCAGAGATTACTGGCTCCACGTAGCACTGGGAGAAGTGTTTTCCTGAACCTGAGTTCCTTAAACGTTCCGTGGGATACAAGTCCATAAGGCATACCTGGCTTCCACTACTTCCAAGCAGATGATATGCCCTGAGTTTGTTTTAACTCGGTCCAGTGTGTTTAGCAACACCAGATTAGATGTGATGGGACTGTAATGAAAACAGCGAGGCAAGCTTTAGGGTTTGGCTCTGTGACGTGATTAGAAACAAGATTACACATCAAGTGATCACAAAACACCTCTGTGATCTAAGCTTTTTAACAGGATACTTCTCTAGTTATGAGTCTGTCACTCAGGACCACTATGAGTTGACGTAACAGCTGAAGATCAGGTATTGTGGTTAAAGACCAGTATTGGGTTTCCCAGATGTTACTCTTCGTTCTGGAGTCGAATGCATCATGACTGATGACTTGGAGTTAAGCAGGCTGCCTCCAAGTTTTCCTTTACTGTCTTCTCTGCTATTTAATGCTAAATTTCACATTTTGCCTTTCATCAAAGCTGCAGTGTATGAGGTGATGAGTGTTTGCTGTCTCTGCAGACTTCTGAGGTGGTCTTTTGGATACAGATGTAAAATTCTCTGCCGTTCTGTCTTGAGCTGGGCAGGGCTCCCAGATCACACCTAACAAAATCGCAGGTCATTACCTGGATGACTTTCGTTTATCCGCCTCAGTTCCTGTTGCAGTTATAGATGCACCAGTTGTCAATGATGTACGCATGCCATGAAGTTGTGATTTCTAGTGTGCTTTCAGCTTCCCATAGAGACTACAAATGCAGCAGGAACACAGCTGAGGAGAGGTGCAGTAATGAGGCACTTTGCTGCAGTTTGTCTTTCTGAGTAGGCTCATTCTGACACATCTGGCAGAAGAGTTGTCCACTTTATACCTCAGAATATGCCAAGCGCCATTCTTCTTCAGAACACGATAAACAAAGAAGAGCTGATTTTTCTTTTACGCAACTGCGTTTCTCAGTTCAAACGTATTTCAAATCTGGTTTACTTTTCCCCAGATAAAAATCACATTTGTAGCCCAGTCACATTAACAGCTGTTAGCCAAATGGTTCCTAGGCTTATAACCTTCAATTGGTGGTATTTTTACAGTTTGAAAGTATCGTATTTCAATTGAACCTGTGGCGACTATAATCTATGTTTTTAAGCTGTATATTCGAGAAAATAAAGAACATTAATGCAGAATGTTTAAGTACTGTAAGTTCTGGTTTAATGTATATTTATAAAAATAACATCCATAAATACCACTTTATGGCCAAAGAGCTATTAAACTTGGATGATATTACACATGAGGGTTAACCCTGAAATTGCCTTAGTAGTCTACATTAAGCCTCTAGTTGAGTCCTTGGGGCCCATCTAATCCGAGTGGGAAGTTAGGCTGAGCTTCCTGCTTTGAAGTTGCATTGGGCTTCTGCCCGTTCCGTAACCGTCGTGCCTAGCAGTGCCCCTCTGCCGTAAGGCTGGGGCACACTGGCTGCGTGGCCCCCCCTCCAGACCCTCCCGCTTGGCTTACGGCCCTTCTGCAGTCCTCTTCCTGCCCGCTGCTCCCCTAACGAGGTGCAGCGTGGAGGGCTCGGGGCAGGATTACTCGAAAGGGCTGCTCTTTTCACGTAAGTAATGGCGAGGAGGCAACCTCTCGTACAGGCTGTGATGTATCGTGTGCTCAGAGAGCAGCTGCCTGTGCGATGCGGGAAGAGGGTGACAAAATAGTGGTTTCCTGGGAAATTCCTTTAATCAGCTTCAACATCTATCTAGGTATTGTTGTTATAAGGAAAGTTACATTATTCAAGCATGCTTGAAAAGTGTCTTAATTTGCAGAATGAGCAAAAAGCACAGTTGCAGTGATCTGCAAGCATCATGAAGTTAATGTTGCCCTGCTGCCAGGGTCTTTTGTATCTCTTCTCTTATCTGTAAGATGCAGTTGTTACTGGAAAGCACCAAAACCTTCAGGGAGAGGGATCAAATACTGCAGGTCAGCAAACATGGTACATGGAAAGTTATACGTAGTTAGTACTCGCTGGTATCCAGGTTTTATGCTTAGAACGAAGTCTCTTTCCATTCTTTCAGTTTAAGGATTTACTAAAGCAGATCTCCGGTAATATACTGTAAAATGTGGATTACGTAACTCACTAAAGGCTGTTCTTCCATTAAAAAAAAAAAAGACTTCCATATCACATAGATATGGCTGTGCAGACAAAAGTCTAATTAAAAATATATTGGGTTTCCTTTATTTGGCATTTAATTTATATTGAGGGATACTGCCTTATTTAGTTACCGATTTATAATTAATATTTTTACCTTTATTTTGCAGATCATTGAAAAAAAATGTTGCTGTCTGCAGCGAACGAATACATATTTAATATTTTGGTATACAGCCACTAACAACCTTTTCACACCTTTTTTTTTCCTTATTCAGGAATCTCCACCTTCCTTTGTCATTATATTAAGTAAAATATTTTTCATTGGCACTGGCCTTTTTCTAGACCTTTATTCATTGGAGTAAATGATAATTTTCTTAGGTGTTTTCCAAAAGGAGCCAATCTGAGGGGTTGTCTTACAAACTTGCAAACTGTCTGTCTTTAAGACCGTTTTTCTTTCTTGTTTTATCCTGCTTATTTCATAACTGAATTCTGCAGCTAATGTTCTTGGGTTCTTTCCTTATCATTCCCTAATTAAAGTATGGTTTAAGTCTGCCAGAATTAACTGACTGAAATATTTGACTTCTTTCCAAAGGTATCAAGTTTCATTAGAGAACAGGCTCATGAACAGTTTCAAATGATAGTTATTTCTCTAAAGGAAGAGTTTTATTCCAAAGCAGACGCATTGATCGGAGTGTGTCCAGAGGTAACAAACAATTATTGCCAATTTTTGTTAAATAATCTGTACTGGTTTTTGTTGAAGTATGGATTTACACCTTAAGTGTTACTGCAGTGAATCATTACATAACGGTGTTGCTGGATTTGAACTGCTTTGTGTTTGGAAGTAAGTGCAGGTACTGGCTCAAGGAAAAGACTATTTTGGTAACTCAGGTTCATTATTGTGTCTCATAGTTATTTATGAAATGCTTATTTCAAATAACAGAAATGTTTTAAATTGTATGATCCTTCCTCTTCTCAGTGTGATGACATCATGGGTACTGGCTCAAGGAAAAGACCATTTTGGTAACTCAAGTTCATTATTGTGTCTCATATTTATGAAATGCTTATTTCAAATAACAGAAATGTTTTAAATTGTATGATCCTTCCTCTTCTCAGTGTGATGACATCATGTTCAGTCGAGTACTGACTTTGGATCTTACCGAGTACCCAGACGCTGATGAGCAGCACAAACGCAGTTCTGTTTCAGAATGAAGCATGGATGATTTCAGGTGACAACAGGGATAACTGTTTGCAGCCGACTGTTACAAATCTGAGTTTGAGTGTGGCTATTAGAGGTTGATAGAGAAATGTTCACCTTTCAAAAGAACAAGCTGTTTTCTAAAATACTGAAGAAAATAACTTACTTGTTGATACAGTTTTGTTAACAAGTAAGAGGGAGCCAGAGGTGGTTACTGAAGTGTGTACGCTCTGGTATGCAAAGCTTTCTCTTCAAATGGTTTGGGGGTTTTTTGCCTGAAGATGAAGGATTACAGGTTCACATAAGCACACTATAACAAAGAATAAACTCCCTCTTGCTTTTCCTATGGGAAGTCATGTGTTCAGCTGTATCTCCAGTGCACTGTTTCGATGCATGCTACCGCTGGCCAAGACCTCTGCCATCTCTCTCTCGTGTTGCAGTTGCAGCTGTTTGCCTTCAGATAGGATTATTTCCTGTTTGTTAAGAAGGTACTGGAATTTGCCCATTATCTTATGGAAACTTCTGTGCTGCTCCAGAAGACTTCCATCTTCCACTGCAACCTTATGAAAATATTACTTTACTTTACAAAAGCTCGCGATCTGTCTCTATAGGTGTGATGTAACCTGGAAAAATTTTATCTTTGAGGTGTTCTACCCCACACAAGTGGAAAGAATAAAAGAGGCGTGAGTCAGATGCCATACAGGCAGCAGCCTTAGAAAAGTGTCTGGGTTTGCAGTCCAGACTGTTATTACGTAGCTGTCCCAGTAAAGGCAGGTTTATTTTGATGGCCATGCTTTGTCTAAGCAGCAAAGTTTAATGAAGCTGGTTACAGAACACAGAGCAAGCCTGAATCGCTTCATCTGGCATATGTTTCACCTCAGTGTACACTGAAGAGCTTTACTTGGTTTATGGTTGTTCATAATAATTCTGTTGTCTTAGGTTCTTATAGTAGCTTGCTTATACATGTCTGCCTTGTAAGGGGTTCCCGGTACTGGGCTTGTGGCACACAACTGATGGTGGCTGGAGCTGTGGGGTTACTGCACAGGGAAGGAATGACATGTGAGCGGTAGAGAATGTCTTCCTGTGGGAACATTTCAACAACATAAGTGTGCCCACTTCTACTGTAGACAGATGTTTATCAAATATCTATGTTGCTGCCACACTTTATTTAATAAAATTACTTCCTCTGAGTGTAAGTAAGTAAGTTGTGAATTAGCATCAGTCCCTTAATTCAGCATCCATTGACAGATGTGGAAATACTTAACAGTAGTGTGAAGGATGAATAGAAGAGCAGCCCCATGTGATTTCTCAAAGATCTTTGGCCTACTGCAAATACAGAAATTTTGGGTCGGTTTGTGGTTTTTTGTTTGTTTTTTTTTTTTTAACCATTTGCTAGGAACAGTTGGTTGAAATAGAAACAGAGAGTAAAGAACTGACCATTTGAAGAATGGTGGAAGCTACACATTTTAGCTCCTATACAAGAATGGTCTATTTGGCTTTAAGTATTTTATTAAAAGAGTGTATGCCATCATCAGAGAGGTCTTATCAGCTTCATTACACAGCTTGAGCAAAACAGGATAAGAAGTGGTCAACAGGTTTGTTTTCAGTAAATATCTTGTTCCCATTTAAAGAAAAAAAGAATTTAAGTAGAAAAAGAGCCATCTATGGTAGAATTGGCAAACACCACGTAACATGCCAGTGTGCATGGTTTGTTCTTTCACAGCACTCAGGTCATCGTTTGAACAGGGCCTTAAGCAAATGGACCAGACAAGTATCAGGTTCTGCCCCTTTTGACTGTATTTAAGGCAATGCCATCCCTAAGATGCCTAAAATACATTCTTTGACTGGGGGAGGAAAAAACCAACCAAAACTAGGCATTTCTGCCTTCTTATTGTGTATGTTAGGAATTAAAATAACCCCTTACTTACTCATCTGCATTTCTGGATACAAATAAATGGCTGTTGTACAAGCTGCAATATCTACAAAATGGACAAATCGCCAATGCTCATTGTAAGGTGATGCTTACCGAAGGGAAGGGATGTGAGTCTGACTTCAGGCACAGGATAAGGAGTTATGTGACTTTAGGGTTGGGCTTAAAGAATTGCACTAATCAGGGTCGTAAATAATTCAGCTCATCTGATAATTCTGCTGCAGCAGTTTGAAGCAACACTTCCAAGTGTTCTAAGCTGATAGATCAGCATCCCAAAGAGCATGACTGATCACTTTTGAAAACAGCCCACTCATGCCAACTAGGGAAGCAACTTCTAGAGGTGAGATTCTTACAGGTAATGCTATACGTGATGGTAAAAGACTGTTTTCAAAAGTGATGTACACATAAATACAGTCTCTCAAAGGGAGAGGATGAGCATGGTCTACAGTTTCAGGCTGGTTTAGCTTTTGATTTTTGCCTTTTTAAAAACACAGCTGAAACCGTGAGAACTGATACTTGAGGTCCTTGGCAATTACATCCCATACTAAAACCCAAGTACCGTTTCCAGACTGGGTGTCTTCTTCTGGGGTAGAAGAGACAAGAGGCAGTGTGCAGGCATTGTTCAAGATTGCTTTCTAGGCAAAATGCCTTCAGCTCTTCACCTACTTGAGAACAGGGACAAAGACTTCCACACCATGGGAACTCTACCCATCTCAGTAGTTACTAGTCTAGAAAGAAGCATGCCCCTCACTTCTAAGCTTTTCATTTTGCACACATACTTACTAGAGAACAAGCAGAAATTGTTTTTGTGACATACCCCCATTCAGGCAGAAAGGGCACCTGACAGACGCATCGCTTCCACTCCCTGTCTAAAACCTCATTGTAGTGGGATGTGATCTCAAAAGGCTTCACAGATCAAACCCAGGGGGCATATAAGCCAGAAATTGGTTTTGTGACGGGAGTAAAGAGCTGACATACCCCCATTCAGGCAGAAAGGGCACCTGACAGACACATCGCTTCCACTCCCTGTCTAAAACCTCATTGTAGTGGGATGTGATCTCAAAAGGCTTCACAGATCAAACCCAGGGGGCATATAAGCAGAGAATCCTGACTGAAGCAACCCTCCAGGACTGCCAGCTACGAATGCGCCGGTGTCAGAACAAAGAATGGTCCTGAACACGGTCTCCTGCAGACACTGAGGTGAGAGGCAGCTGACTAGAACATTTCAGAAGATTACCAGTGTTAGCAAGTGGGCCAGTAATTATGTCAGTTTAGTACTGAGACAATTCAGTGGTCAGTGAAGTAACCACCTCAGGAAAAAAAATAACAGTTAACGCAGTACCTGACCTTAATCACTGCAGTACTTCAACTGAAGTCACACTTGCACACTAGACATTGTCTACAGATACAGAGTTCAATACTAACTGGTTTTAATTCTGCTGCATTAAGACTATCTGTTACTTGCTGGCAGCATACTCTGATTTAAACAACAATATTTAAAATATTTCCATAGAAATACACTGCAAATAGGTCAGTAAGCCCCCACATACGTATGGTGCGTCCTTGCTGATGCACTACTATTGCATTACTATTCCTATTACATTTCTCCCCATGTGATCTCATGCCTTAACAGACTGACAAATGAAAACAAACACTTATGCTAAATGTGTAAAACAGGCAGGTTACCCTGATGTGGTTCTGTAAGTGTGAAACACCACCTCCTGTTCCTAACAGCGCAGGGATCTGAAGCTTGCAAGCAGCCTTGTGCTGACAGACCCCTGAAGAGTTCAACCTCCAGCAGTTCAGCTGATGAGCAGAGGAACAGAAAACCCTTCACTGCAAAGGCAGCTAGCAGACCGGTGCAGGTATGCTAAAGTCATGTCTGACAGAGTCAAACATGACCTCTTCTTCTGGCTTCACCTTGGTAACAAACAGCTTGGGCCAAGTGGCTTGAAGCAGAGGCAGAGACAACTTGCACCTGCTTCTACAGGACCCTGCAGATACAGTCTGAGTAGTATGGAAGCGCCTGGATAGGGGCTGGTGTGACTCTCAACCTTTACATACGTTACACCTTTACAGCTCTAGAAAAGAAAAGGCTAAGATGCACAATTTTTATTCCACTGAAAACCACGGAAATACTCAGCTCAAAACTTTCCATGCAGCAGACGTAAAACAGATACTGTTAAAAAGCTTCTGGGGTGGGTTTTAGGGTTTTTTGCATTAAATAGTGGGTATACCATTGTCTGACTGCTTGGTTCTCTTAGGAGAGTCAGTGCCATTTTCTCCTAACTTCCTTTTAGCACAGTCCACGCATGAAGTTCCTGTGGAGGGAGAGGGAGGAAGGGAAAAAAAAAAAGATTTTCATGTTGCTACATATGTGTCCTTTGTATGCTTTTTACTACAAGCACCAAGTATTAAGATAAACACAGTACCGGTCCACCGAGGTTCTTGTATTTGAATTCTGAAATCTTAACACCAACCTGACTGAAAGTCTGCACCAGTTCAGGGATCTCAAGCTCCGCCCCAACACTGAGCTCTGGCACTAACACATGAAATGGGAAGTAGCTAATTATACAGCTGCCTTTTGAAGAAAACCTTGATTTTTGTGGTAATGTCTGTGGAGTTCACAGGTGAAAAGCTACTTTAAAAAGTTTGGATCCCTTATTCAGAAGAAAAACAACATTCTTGGCATGAGCTACTGTTGAAAGTATAAACAGCATAGCTAGACAGTAAAAATGAACGGAAGAGAAATTCCTTCAAAATCAGGACATCCACCACTTGAAACTCTAGATATATATATTTTTGTGGGGTATTATACAAATCTGCGTTAAGGAATAATTCTCTTTTTTTTTTTTGTTACATACTCCAAAATACAAATAAATGGGTGCTAAAATTACTTGTAAGGAGGGTGCTAATAAGTTGGTAAAGGAGCTTTATGTTAAGTGGAACTGGAATAAATTGTGCTCAAGTTTTTTGGTTTCTTCTCCACTTTACTGAAAAGGTGATTTACGAACTCATCCGAAAGACAGATAAGCTGAAAATTCAGTTTGAATTACAAAAGTAATCTCTGACTTTACACCTGCCCACAACTGTCTTGAACCTTGTGTACTTTTTTGATTGTGAAAAAGTGGAGGTTTTTAATCTCCTGCAATGCCAATGACCCTTATATGCAGTACTGAAATGTTACTTTCATACAATTTTGACATTATTTGCAGCAGCGGCACAAATATCTTACAAGTGTCATCTTTTTAAGTTGAAGTGGTGTTTCAAAGGGAAGTTTTGCTGGTTTATAGCATAAATTGGAATTTATTTTTTGCTCTGCTCATTCACAGAAGCATCACAAAGATACTTGACCACCACTTAGCCAAAAATTCACGTTCAGTACTACACGCTTAAGATTCACTCTTCTATACCTTCATAAGGAAGACATTCAAAATAGCCAAATGTATCTTTGGAAATTTAAGCGAAAACCTCATGGTTAATACTATCTTAGAATACTCTGATCAGCATTAATAATTTTTATATACATTTTCTGGAGCTTTTCCATATTATTGACAGCTGAAAGCCAGAAGTTACCTGCTAATATGCAGAAAGAAAGAAAGTGGGTAAGAAGAGAATCTGTTAAGCAGACTTTCAGAACTAAATGACAGTGCTGCACAATAGTAATTTAATCACCTTGTAAATAGATTTGTTTTTCTCCCTCTGATAGATTATGGAATTTTCTATGAAAATAAGAACATTACTTACCCAACAGTGTTGTGCTGTCCACCCGATCTGCATCTAGAGAAGTGTAAGAGACAGCAACAGCACAAGTTAGCATCCAAGAAAGTTCTGATACTTTTATGCAACATCCCAAAATGGCAAGGTTGTATTTAGAATCACAGATGGTCTGGGTTGGAAGGGACCTTAAAGCCCATCTCATTCCAACCCCCCTGCCATGGGCAGTGACACCTTCCACCAGACCAGGTTGCTCCCACCCC